GTACGTAGTACGTACGTAGTCGTACGTGTTACGTAGTAGTAGTACGTAGTAGTAGTAGTAGTAGTAGTAGTAGTAGTGTAGTGTAGGTAGAGTAGAGAGAGAGAGAGAGAGAGAGAGAGAGAGAGAGGGATAAAATAAAAAAACAACTGTCACAAATTATATGATTATGCATGAAAGGCTCACATATTAGTATTAAACTACTACATAAATGATAAACTGAATTAACTTTTTAAATAATGCATGTATTATATCACATGCCTCATATGCTAGTAAACCAATAGATACTCCTTGAAAAGGAATAAGTAATTGTGTCTATGACATTACAGTGGCCGCTTAATCCTAACTGCATCCGTGAGGAAACGACGACACCCCCGGAAATCCAGACTCGGGCTCAGAACCAGGCAGGGATGATCCCCCTTCAGCCAGTTCTACTCAGCTGATTCTATGAAAAATTAGCATAGCAAACTTGAGAACCAGGGAGAAATGGCCAGTTACTGAGATTTTACAATGGGACCTGGCAACCTGTCGAGTTCGAGCAACTCGGGCAAGTCCGAGTTCTAGTTGGCAAGTTTTCATTCACAGATCCATATATAAAAGTACATGGATGCACACAACATTGACACATGATAAAAGCAACAACTAATAACTAACCAAAGAACCAAATATCAAATTGTCTAAGTGTTTAGTGCCACTTATCCAAAAACGCAGTGCTAAATGCCAAGCACAAATTATAGATTACACTAAACCATATTGTCCCAAATCAAAATATGGAGATACAAACCTACAAGGATGTACTCCTAACACAGGATTGGGTTGTTTACTGGAAGTAGTAAATGACAATTTATTCAGATGGTTAGGATCTAGGATCCACAAAATCTGGAATCCTTTCATCGAGTATGGGATACAGAGGACATAAAACTTACTCAAATTTGATGTTAGGAAAGATGAATGATGGTCTGCACACATACGGCTCATCTTTCACGCTCCTATGAAATCCCATAAGACAATCGAAAGTTCAAAACCAAAATTTTGGTTTTGGGTTATATCTAGAAAAATACTTTTTGCCCCATTTGGGCAAATTCCAATAGTTGGTGTTAATCTAGGTTTTTGGAGTGAAAAAAGCTCTTTTCATGTAACATGAGTGGTTAAGAAAACCACTACCTCACCCTTCCCCTCCAAGTGGGGGCAATTGAAAATTCCCAAGAGCTGTGGTTTATGACATCTTTGGGATTCCTAAGCTAAAAGCTAAACCAAATACCCAGGCATGGCAGGGAGGTAGTAGAATTCCACAATACATATAGAATTCACCTACATGGCCAATTTGATGACATGAATATCAAATAAGTGAATGCAGCTCTCAATTTGTACCAGACTAGCAAAAAGGTCCATAAAACTTAAGTACCAAAGTTATAGAATGAGTGGCCATTCCCTGCATTTTTGTACTATTTGTTTCTTGATCCAACTCTCTTGTACTATTTGTTCCTTGATCCAGGTACAAGTTTACTTTCACAAAAACTTATCAGTTTTGCTTATTTTTTTTATTAAAAGCCCGAAGGCGTGCATGTAAGTAAGTAGTGCACGTATGTAAGTTTTCTCAAACGACTCCCACATTTGACACGTAAGTTTTCTGAAAGACTCCCCGCATTCGATGTTAGAAGACTTTGATGGACTTGCTTCTTTGTTGCCTTGCATTTTTCTTGGGTTACATTACATTCATTCATGCATTAGTAAGTGACCTACTGAATTTGCATGTCATTGCTTATGTTACATTCTTCCATGTTTGTAATGGATATTGCTCTTAATACTTTGGCCTCATGCTTCATGCCTTAACATTGATTATTCTTGCCTTAGTGCTCTTTATATATTTATACCTATCCTAAATAATCATCTTTATATACTTCGCCTATTTGTAGAAATCATATTGCCCTTTATACTCAGCCTTAATATTAATCTTTATACATAGCCTTAGAATCATTACTGATCATTAACTTTAGTCTCAGACTCAGAATCAGTTATCATTAACTTTGGCATATTCCCTGGAGTTCACTGGCACATTTCCTAGTGTTTTAATAGTGTCTGCAATTTTTAGCTTTCACATTCCCATTGTAATTTGGCTTCTCTTATGCTTATGGAATTGCAATGCCACTCCATTTTATTTCTTTAGAAAAGGTTGCAGATATACGAAAACCTTCACCTCTAAACTGATTCTCTCTGTAAGGAAATTATAAACTTACAATTTCATTACTATTATTTCCATGTGTTTATAAACTGTAACCTTTATCGTGACTCATATGTAGAATTCCAAGTATCCTTTCCTTATATCCATCATAATATGCTTCCAATGCTCGATAACCACCCCAATAATCAATTTTTTGGCTACCTAAACACGCATATAATCTGCACTAACTTGATTGAAAAAACCCTGTGCTCCATAAACACCAATATAAGCTGCAATAATTTAATTGAGAGAGAAAAAAAAAAAACCATACTAGTCTACTCCTGATACCGCTGCCCTGAGAAGCCACATTTGTTCCAAAATTGGGAACCAATCTAGAAGAAAAGTGGGGAAAACAGTACAAAAGCAACTATTTCATACTTGCCCCCACATCCGATTATTCCCTGTGACCATGAATAAGTGCACAAAATCTCGTTTACTATATATACATATGCAAAAAAAAAAAATTCCGCTTAAACGTTCGTTTTGAAGTGGCCCAAACCCCTAGAAGAAGCATAAGTCACATGCTGAAATCTAGGGCTAAACCCTATCTTACTCGGCTAAAGTTAAGACAATTTGCAAGAACAGTGAAGAGGAGTCAAAACAGTAAAGAGGAGAGAGAACTCATCAAAGCAAACAAAGATCAGAACATAATTTTAAGTTTACCTGACACAGATTTCCCTCTGATGCCCATGAAACCCTTTTGGGCTTGTGCTGTGTTGCCATTTTATTAGTCGAGTGCATAAGAAATCTCTGCTTCCAATCTCTACCATATAAAGCCATGGAAAAGCTACCCAGATTTACTATTTGTTTTTTCTTCTTTTTGGCTCTTGATGTGATAGAAAACGCTATTCCTGGAACCCTAACCCTAATTTTGAATCGATGACTGCTCTCTCCTAACCCTAATTTTGAACAAACGACTGTTTTTCCCTAAAAAACCATTGAACCATGCAAACCACCTATAAAACCTGAATCGAATTCTTTAAAATCCTAGAGCAAACGAAAGGCAGAAAGAGATTCAATGTTTATCTTCCCCATTTCTCTTTGGATTTGAGGGGGTTAAAAAAACAAAAAAATAGTATGGAGTTTGATGCAGAAGAGAGAGAAAGACGCGAAAAAGAGATGAAAACGTATGAATGCGAAAACCCTATTCCCGAATGATGGAGAGAGAGATAAAGAGCGAAAGTGTAGAGAGAGAAATAAAGAAATCATCAAATCAGAGGCTTCGGATTTTATCTGTATATATAGATATAGAGAGATAAGAAACCAAGAAGGGAGCGGTTAGTATAGAGCCTAGGCTCTAAACAATCACATTAGAGCCTACCTTCAAAAATAGTGTCGAGCAATATGATTTTAATTTTGAAAATCTTTTTGATAGACTTAAAATATATTTTTATTTTTATGTATAAATTTAAAGCTTTAAAAATAGTGCAAATTGATAGATCTATAAAAACTCGAAAATCTTGAAAATTGACAGCCTAAATATATGTTATAAAATATACTATTTTCAAAACTTGAAATTTTTTTTTTTTTAATGTCCATGCATGTTGATGTCAAGATGATCAATTTAAAGATATTTGGGCATCAAAATAACCTCTTTTAGTGAAAGTTTTGAAGTAGGTTTCCAATTTGATTGTTTAGAGCCTCAGCTCCATATAAATTCCTCGTTTCCTAATCGGTCCAGATTTCAATCGACCAATTAACTCTGATCTAACAGCGTTCAGTAAGCCAAATTTGATGGGCTTCCTACCCGCATATTGTAGAAATACGGGCTTAGCAATAAACATATTCTTTAAGCATAATTTGATCTTAATTATTAGAGAATATATAATCATGGAGATCATGAATGAATATGAGAAAAAAAAATTGAAAACTAAAAATAATAAATAAAAATAAAAATAATATAACTATAAATAATAATTATATTAAGAAAACATTTGGACATATAGTTATGATTGTTTTTAGATGGATCACCTAGTTGTATCCATCTTTAAAATAGATGTTTTTGACCTTTGGACTGCATATTGTAGAAATGCGGTCTAGCTTGCATGAAACAATTTTCATTAAGTCTCTATAGGGCCTAGGCTTTATGAAAACAAAATAAAGCCTCACCTCAAATCTTGATCCATAAAGTATTTTTGCTACCAAAAATTGTTATGATAGCTCTAAACTTAATTTCCAACACCGACAATGAAATTTGAAACAAAAAAAATGATACAGATCTTGCATATCTATGAACACTTATTTTTAAGGCGAAATGGATGGTCTAGATTATTTATTACAATATACGATATTTTTAGAATTTAAAATCCTAATTTATTTTTTACACACCTATAATGTTCAAGCTGCGATGATAGATTTAAAGATTTTTCAATACATAAAATTACAATTTCTGAAATGTTGGGTTCAAGTCCAAGTCTGGACCCGAATAATAGGGATGTATGTGGGTATTCATAGATGTTGCCAATACGTTTGTTTTTTAAGAATTTCTAGTTATTATTTAAAATGGTAAGGAATGTGGGTATTCATAAATATTGTGCAATATTGTAAAATATTACCAATAATACGAGTATATGATGATAAAAAAACAAGGAAGCACATAATCAACCCACATGTCTCACATAAATAGAGAGGTTGCAATGGAACCGACCAGACCCAGGACTCGACGGGTCGACCCAACCTCAAGTCCAGGTACAAATCCAAATTTTTGACCCGAAAGGTCAGGTCCGAGTCCAAAAATTGGACCCGAATACTATTTGGGTTTAGTTACGGGTCCAGCCAGACGCAATTTGGACCCAACCCATTGTCACCCGTAGCATTAATATGGATGCAGTTTCTATAAGGCCTAAACCTTAGGAAAAAAGTAAACTCTCACTTCGACATTTGTTTGAAAAACATTTCGGGTATGAGTATGAAGGCTCTAAATAAAATCAATTACCATTGTTAGTTATGAAATTTGTCCCTAGCATTAATACGGATGCAGTTTCTATAAGGCCTAAACATTAGGGAAAAAGTAAACTCTCACTTCGAAATTTGTTTGAAAAACATTTCGGGTATGAGTATGAAGGCTCTAAATAAAATTAATTACCATTGCTACTTATGAAATTTGTGACTCCAAAAATAGCAAAAATCTTGCAGATTCATGAAAACTTGAAAGTTGATGGTTTAGATAATGTATTATAATATAAACTATTTTTAGGGTTTGAAATCCTAATTTTCTTCACAACCATAATTTTCAAGGTCAATATGATTAATTTGAAGGTTTTCTAATACCAAAACTACAAATTTATATGACTTTTGAGGTGAAGCTTTACTTTTTTTAATAGTGGTGCAACCCTATCAAAACATTTCTAGGATGCAGTTTTTATAAGGCTTGGCATGGAAAAATAAAGCCTTGCCTCGAAACTTCGTCCGGAAAACACTCTGGGCATGAGAAATATCTATGGTGGCTCTAAAATCGCTTTCCACCATCAATTTATGAATTTTGTAGCTCAAAAAATAACACAAATTACAGATTCGTGAACCCTTGAAATAGACGGTCTAAATAATAAGTTATAATATACACTATTTTTTACGTTTGAAATTTTTTTTTTTTTACAATCATGGTTAATTTTGAAGGTTTCTCGACACCACCACTGCAATTTTTTGTAAGTTTTGAAATGAAGCTTTACTTATTCTGACCGGCTGCAGCCCTATGGCAATATTTTTTTGGATGCAGTTTCTACAAAGCCTAGGCCTAATGAAAAAAAAAAAGTAACTCAAAACTTCATCGGACAATCTCTTTGCGCTTGCAAACCTACATGGCTAAAGCACTTGAAGAAATATGTATTTCCTAAGTTTTGAGATAGTGGCTCGTCTAGGCCTCATAACCTGTTTTGAGAGAGAGAGAGAGAGAGAGAGATTTATAACAAAACCACAGGTGATTATAATGTAGCAATGCGGTCTTTTTAATCCATTGTATGGTGGTCGCAGATGATCAAGTTGAACATTTGGTCCCATCGGGAAAACACTAGAAATTTATAATTAGAAATTCTTAGGAAATATTTGATTTACCTTTTGATCAATTAAAAAGGGAGAAGCGACTTTTAGTTTTTTAAACTTCTTATCAAATAACAGTGGAAAATGTTTTGAGAGGCGTACAGCCTTATTATTACAAGAAAAACCTCACCTCAAAGCTCACTCAAAATTGTAATTTTGACATCGGAAAATCTTCTCTGCCTTGACCATTATGATTGTTAAAAAAAAAAAAGATTTTGAATTCTAAAAATAGTATATACTATAACACATCGAACTGTTTATTTCACCTAAAATAAGCGTTCACCGAAGATTCATACCATTTTTTGAGCTTCAAATTTTATGATAGGTGTTGAACATTGATTTTAAAGCCATCATGCAGACTTACAATTTCGAAAGTGCTTTCTTGAGGAGGATCCGAGGTGAGACTTTCTTTCCTTAAAAACTTGGCCTTGCAAAAAACACAGCCATAGCAGTCCATTCAATTGCAACAAGGGAAATGATTTAGAGCAATTTATGTAAGGGCCCGTTTGGATAGGATGAAATTAAGAATCCTAGATATTTGAAATCAAATAGATGGATTTTCAATATCAAGGATTTTTATCATGGATTTCTCAAATCTCGTGCTTAGATAAACTATACAAAATTCATGGATTCCTTGCAATCACTTCCATGTCCATTTGTTTGGCAACAAAACTTGATACAATTTCTCTTTCTAAATTTTTATATACATTCTCTCTTTAAAACTCAAAATTTGGGATAATGTATCTATAAAAAATTTTGAGATAGTTTCTCTGTCTAAAATTTGATATGGTTTGTCTCTCTAAAATTTGATATGGTTTGTCTCTCTAAAATTTAATATACTTTCTATCCAAAATTTAAAAATTGAAATTGTCTATCTAAAAGTTTTGAAATAATTTCTCTCTCTAAAATTTTTAGGTGTTTTACTCTCTCTAAAATTAATATACTTTCTCTTTCTAAAATTTTAAGACACTCTCTCTCTAAAACTTAAAACTTCAATAATTTTGAGATAGTTTCTCTCTCTAAACAATTCTAAGTAGTTTCTCTCTAAAAAATATGGTATAGTCTTTCTCTCAAATTTTAAAATCCTTTCTCTTTCTAAAAGCTAAAATTTGAGATAATTTCTTTCTAAAAATTTTGTATTAGTTTCTTTTTCTAAAAAATTTTATATACTTTCTCTCTCTAAAATTTGATATAGTGACTCTATTAAATTTTAAGATGCTTTCTCTCTCTAAAACTTCAAGTTTAAGACAATGTCTCTCTCTAAAATTTTGAAATAGTTTGCCTATTTAAATTTTGATATAGTGTCTTCTAAACTTTGATATACTCCCTCTCCAAAGTTTAAAATTTGAGATACTTTCTCTTTCTAAAACTTAAATTTTGAGATAATTTCTCTCTCTAAAAAATTTTGAAATAGTTTTTCTATCTTAAAATTTTATGTACTTTCTCTATTTAAAGTTTGATATAGTTTATCTTTTTAAAATTGTAATATACTTTCTCACTCTAAAACATAATTTTTGCGATGGCTTCTCTCTTCAAAATTTTTGAGATAGCTTCTATCTCTAAAAATTTTTAAGTAGTTATAGTTTCTCTCGAAAACTCAAAATTCGAGACAGTTTCTTTCTCTAAAAAACGAGATATTTCTCTCTCTAATTTTTTTTTTTTTGGCCGTTTCTCTTTTTTAAATTTATAATAGTTTATCTCTAAAAGTTTAAGAATAATTTATCTCTCTATAATTTTAAGAATACTTTCTCTCCTAAAACTTAACATTTGATAGTGTTTTTGTCTCTAAAAAATTTCGAGACAGTTTCTATTTTTAAAACTTCTTAGGTAATCTTTTTAAAATTTGATATAGCTTCTATCTCTAAAAATTAAAATATGAAATTGTTTCTCTCTTTAAAATTTTTGAAATAGTTTCTCTCTCTAAAAATTTGAGATAGTTTCTCTCTCTAAACATTTGCATGTACTTTCTCTCTCTAAAATATGATAATTTCTCTATAAAACTTAAAATTTGAGATAGTTTCTCTCTCTAAAATTTTGAGATAGTTTATCTCTCTGGAAAAATTTGGTACATTTTCTCTTTAAAATTTTAACATATTTTCTCTCTCTAAAAGTTAAAATTTGAGATAGTTTTTCTTTCTACAATTTTGAGATAATTTTTC